AACACTGATTCTTTATTCCAGTATATACAGTACGCCTAGTGTTACTTGAGTATTTGTTGTGGAACATTTGTGGTCATGCAGTATTAGAGTTAATGATATTGGAGTGGAATATATGATGCATGATCAATTTACTGTGTTGTTTATGTCATGAATGACAGTGAAATTCACTTGTTGAAAAACATACTCGTTCCTATAGAACATTATATGTCTCAAACTCATTACTCTAGGTTACTCTGAAGTAGCCCTGTGGTGACAGTTTCCGTTTCTTTTTCCCTACAATTTTCTTCCATCTCTCTCTGCCAGCTGTTTGTCTTCACAGATGGAGAAGTGGGAAACACCAAAGCAGTGATTGATCTGGTGAAGAGACATGCGTTGTCTCACAGGTGAGCATCACCTTTCTGTGTGTCTGCAGATGCTGTGGAGATGTATGGTGTGTGGCTCTGTGGACAAGGATTCTGTACCTATGATCGAAAGGTTGATGGTTCAAATCCTGCATTGGGCAGAATGATGTCAGTGTTGGACCTTTGAGCGATGCCCTTCACTCTCACTGCCCCAGGGTGTGACTGACACTGTTTTCTCAGTTTGTACGTTATTTTGCATAAAAGCCAAATAAACAAATTAAATGTCCCCACAAAGATAAGAGAGACTGATAAATTGGAGTTGTAGTGACATGCATTCATCATTTGAAAAGAATCATTCTTAAAAGTGAGAATATGTGTTATGAATTTGCAGGTTTTCCTGGCTTTTAGTATTTGTGTTTGAAGGTTGGAATCTTTGTAGTAAAGTGTTGGCCACTCAGAAGTCACCTGAAATGTGTGTGTGTGTGTGTGTGTGTGTGTGTGTGTGTGTGTGTGTTTCCTCACTGTACCCAGGTGCTTCACCTTTGGCATCGGGGAGGGGGCCAGCAGTGCCCTGGTGAATGGCATGGCTGAGGGCGGCTCTGGACACCCACAGTTCATCACTGGAGCGGAGAGACTGCAGCCAAAGGTGAGGAGGAGTCACACCTGCGTCTGAACTAGAGAAACACAAGTTAATCCATGCAGCTTCCTCTCCTCAGCTCATATAAAACTCACTCCTACTTCTCTAAGCTTGTTTGTCGTCCAGCCCTTTCAGCCAATGAAGACTGTAGATCAAAGCCAGCATGTAAAGATTCCTCTAATCCCCGTAAAGGTTTTAGTTAGTGTTTGATGTCTCAATATTCATATAATGCTAAATACATACATCTGGAATGTTGATATAGTCATGTAGGTATCTGATCAGCCTCTCACATGTGTCTAATATGCATATGTTAATAAGTATTTTTTTCAGTTAATATTTTATTTTTCTGTTGTAAATGATCATCATACTATTGTGGATAATTCAGAGAAAAGGTCCCCATTGGACCAGGAGTGAGGATTGTAGATCTTTAATTGTCTATATACTGTGCTAATCTCTAGGATGCTTATGCCCTATCAGTAAGTAACACGAGTCTTTTCCTACTCCTCAGGTTATGCAGTCTCTTCAGTTTGCCCTGCAGCCTGTTGTAGAGGACATCTCGGTGAAATGGAACATTCCAGCAGACATATCCATCACCCCCCTGTCTCCTCTTCCCAATGTGCTCTTCCAGAATCAGAGGGCAATACTGTACTTCCAGCTCACAGGACAGGTTTGGAACCTTAACTTACTTTCAGGCATGCAGCCTGATTCCGGAATCTCCTATTCACCTCCTGGCTTATTGAAGTTTTGAAGATTTCCTATCCATCTAATGACCCTAAGTCTAATATTTGTGTATTTACAGAGGGTTTCCTATAAATACTCAGTCTTTGGTACTTTGGAAATATTATTTATTTAAATAAAAATTCAAGTTGTGATATATTTTTCTTATTCTTGAAAATTGCATTTTACATCATTTTTTAAATATAAATTTGAATTTCTTGTCACCTGATATCACTTTCCTCCCTTTCTTTCACCACTTTGCCTTCCCAGAGTTCCGCTAATATTTCAGGTTCCGTGAGTCTCCATTACACTCTGGATAAGAAGGCTGTGGAAAACACACTTACCCTTAACATGAAGCCGAAGGAGGACAGCAGGTAAGATGCACACAGACACACTCAGATCATTAGGAGATGCTGGTCATTTTCAGCTGGTTTAATTATGTCTGTCCATTTGTCTGTTGGTCCCTTAGCATGCTGATACACAGACTGGGGGCCCGCAAAGCCATTTTGGCCTTGGAGGGGGAACGTGGAGAGACGGGCGATAAGACTGGGAAAGAGAGAGCAGTGAAGATGAGCGTCCAATCAGGAGTCAGCTCCTCCTACACGGCTTTCATTGCCGTCAACACAGAGAATAAGCAGCCAATCAAAGGACCCCTACTGCGCAGAAACATCCGTAAGTTACATGATTCTGGTGGATGAATCTCTGAAGAGGTGCCCTTTAGAATCAGAATGAGAATCAGCTTTATTTATTAAGTGTACTGGGGCACAGAAGAAATTTGCATCCGGCTACTTGAGACAATAAATGACACTATACAACAATGTTACACTATACAAGAAATAAAATTTGAAACATACACACATGGGTAACCCACTGTGCAAAGTATAAGGTTGAGTGCAAACAATAGGGGAAATTGACAGAAGGCAGGTGACACAGCTTAGCTGTTTATGAGGGTGATGACCTGAGGGAAGAAGCTGCTCCTGTGTCTGGCGGTTTTTGTTTACAGAGTTCTGTAGCTCCTGCCAGAGGGGAGGACCTGGAAAAGATGTGTCCAGGGTGTGATGGATCTGCAGTGATTTTCTCTGCCCGTTTCCTAGTCCTTGAGTAGTACAAGTCCTGGATGGAGAGCAGGGGGGAACCAATGATTTTTTTCCGCCGCCCTCACTGTTTGCTGCAGTCTCCTTTGGTCCTGTTTAGTGGTTGCTCCAAACCACACTGTGACTGATGAGCAAAGGACAGACTCAATGTCTGCAGTGTAGAACTGGCTCAGCAGCTCCCGTGGCAGACCGTACCTCCTTAGTTGCTGCAGGAAGTACATCCTTTGCTGGGCCTTGAGGACTGAGTTGATGTTGGGCTCCCACTTCAAGTCTTGGGAAATGGTTGTTCCCAGAAACTTGAAGGTCTCCACCGTTGCTACAGGGCTGTTGGATATAGTGAGAGGAAAAAGTGCCTGATGGTGCCTCCTGAAGTTCACTGTCATCTCCACAGTCTTGAGTGTGTTAAGCTCCAGGTTGTTCTGATTGCACCAGAACACCAGCCGGTCAACCTCCCGCCGATATGCAGACTATAATGCATGAATAAATGCATTAAATGTGAGACAAATAATATAAAATATATAATAAATATAATATATAATATAAATATGAGTCAAAACAGCCAACGCTGAATATTGTAATTAACAGCATGTTATTCACCAAATTTTGTTTGTAATTTTATGCATTACATTTATTTTAGGTTCAAGACCCGTACGCGTACGTGGAGGTGAGTTCATATAAACATTAAGAAGCAAACTTTGTTTCATAGAGAATCATCCATCCATTGAGTTGTCGTTTTTGCTAAACATTTGCTGAATTATGTAGTTAGTTAGATTAGGAGATGACTTATTTAAAATCTTTTCTTTTCAGGTGGTGGCTTGAGAATGGGTTTGTATATGGCCGTTTTAATTATCATGTCCTTGACATTTATCATTCCATTATTAATTATATAATACACCTAATTCTGCACCAATTTATACCCTGAAAATTATATGTTTAGTTCACGAACCTCATTGTTTAAGTTTTTCTTGATTGCTTTGGCACATTTTATGGAACATATGGAACATTCTCAAGACTATAACAGCATTTCTCAAAACAGTTAATGCATATAGCACAACACTATGGATTAGCTTACTCAAAACAATTAATCCATCTCTCAAAATCAAATAATTCCACCAATGAATTAGTCAGGACACCAAAGTGAAAAGTACAATCAGCATAGTTTTAACCTTGAGAGTCAAAATGCTTAGACATTGGTGTATATATTTGTTTTCATTTGCAACATCCATGATCTGTATGTTACCAGTCAAAATTGTACCCAAAATGTCCTCATTCATTTATGTAGTATTACATAATTGTATAATAGTTGTATAATAGATTGGTTTCTACCTTATTTTAAATCTTGTGTGTATTTTCTTCATTTTGTTCTTTTGTTTTTGCAGTGCAACTCTGTAATGGAGCAGCCTGGCCCCCCCCCGCTATGGGTAAGTTTTAACATTTTACCCAACATGTCCTCAAGAGCAATGATACAAGCATGAATGAATTTGCTGTTTTATATAAAAGACAAAAAGTCAGTGCTGAATATTGTAATTTATGACACCTTGTTCATCAACTCCTGTTCATAATTTAATGCATTAAATTGTGTTTAGGTGCAGCCCCTATGGCCCTTGCGTCTTGTCATTTTATTACACGAAGGAAACGTAAAGGTAAGTTTAACATTTTAACATTTAGTCGTCGTACCTTCCACATCGGGGGCCCCCTATGATCAGGAAAAATCTGAGTAAAATTTCTGGGTGCCCCTGGTGAGCAGAGCAAAGCTAAATAAGAAGATATGAGAAATGTTAGATACAACGATCACTGTGAGATCACTAAAGAGGCTGCTGTACAGATGCTCGCCGTCCTCCAAACCAGCACTGTACATGCAGCCATGAAGAAAATTGAGACCTCAGCACAATATTTTGTTTCACTCGTATCTAAATTTATGGGTGTGCAGCTGTGAAAAATACATATGTTTTTTTTGCAAATTGCAGCCTGGTTCTTCGCTGTTTCTCATTAATGAAGGGCTTCTTCCTTGCTTTATGGGGCTTGAGTCCTGCATCTAGGAGCCTGTTTTGAACTGTCCTATCAGTGCACTTCACACCTGTGCTTAATGTTTCCCATTCCTTTTGAAGGTCACTTTATGTCATCCTACGATTCATGAAAAACTGTCGGATAAGTTAACGGCCATCTCTGCCATTAGAAAGTCACTTCTGCCCTTTACCTGGCTGGTTTTTGGTCGTTCCCAGTGTCTCCTGCTTCACCTTATTCTTGTGCACTGCAGTCTTAGAAATTTTGAGGCTGGAAGAAACCTGCTGCTCAGCGTAGCCTCCTGCCAGCAGAACCAGGGTGAAACCAGGATTTAAAAATGCAGAATTAAAAAAATAAAAATAAAAAATATAAAAAATGGAGTGGTCTCTTTGTTTTCTATAGCTGTCTATCTTATGCATTGATGAGTTACTGAACTTTTTGTGTGTCGCCTGCTGGCTTTCACGTGTTCTCAGTGGCTTTCAGAAAACTCCCAAAAAATTCCCATTCAATTCCCCGCGATACTTCAAAACTGTGATGGGGAAAGTCGGGATGCAGGAGGGTCGACTGTATATCATTCATGTAGAGCCCTTTGTCCGTGTCTTCCAAAAAATAAGAGGTCCAGCTCACAATCTTCATTATTTTTGAAAAAGGTTTTGTTTATAGCAGTTTATTACATCAGTTTTTTCCCCTCTGCAGCAGCCATGCCCCCCCCTATGGGTAAGTTGCACATTTTACCCAACATGTCCTCAAGAGCTGATACCAGCATGTATGAATTTACTGTTTTCTATAAAAGACAAAATGTCAGTGCTGAATATTGTAATTTATGACACCTTGTTCATCAACTCCTGTTCATAATTTAATGCATTAAATTGTGTTTAGGTGCATCACCCTAGTTCCCTGATCCAGTCAGTGGTTGATTCATGTAAACATTAAGCAGCCGACTTTGTCCCAGGCAGAATAATCTATCCATCTATCCTCGACTACTTGTAGTTTCTCAGAACATTTTCATTAAATTGTGTTTAGATCCAGGATATTTGCCCCCTGCTCCTGAACAAGGTTCATTTATTTACTTACATTAAATGCATTGTTTATTTGAGTCTTATAATTTGTAATAAAGGAAAAGGTTTCTTCATACTACGTTTACAACACCAGTGAAGTTTCCAAAACAATCTATTTATAATTTTGTAAGTAATTTCTTTCTAGACAAAATACTTCTTGGATAAACTAACACATTGACACAGCCTTTCTACATCATACCACAGAAATATTATAGTTCCTTAGTATTTTTTTTATAATATCACCATGATATTTGCAAGGCTTTTATCAACTGTCAACTCAAAACAGACGCACCAGAGACAAAAGATCCTTTGCTGGAATTGATCAGCCTACAGAAAGTAGATGGATCCTGGGACCTTCAACCATCGCTGGCCTCCATCTTTGGAAAAAAGGAAGAAGAAGTGGCCACAGCCTTACCTGGAAAGGTGATTCTCTGAGATGTTCCACACTTTAAGGGTCTTAAAAGTACATTTGGTTGTATTTTCAGGCCTTTAGCTCAGGTCAGTGAGGGACCTTGATCCTATTTTTTTTACTCCACAGCCTGAGTTTGTATCAGTCTGGGCCACAGTGTTGGCAGTTCTGTGGCTACATGGTCATAAGATGGACTTCAAGGATGAGTGGCAGTTTGTGGCTGCAAAAGCTGTTGCCTGGATCAGGGCTCAGTCAGGTAGGAGAGAGCTCTCCCTTTGTTTGATACACAGTATATCATAGGTAACATCATGCATGCATATAAGCGTTTAGATGATAATGTGTATTTGATCATCGCAACATTTCAAAAGTTCTGTTTTCAGGGGGTTTGCATAGAGGTATTACACAATGAAAGGTGCGGTGGAAACACGAGATCTCAACAGATTAACAGTAAATGTCAGACAAGCAAGAAGAGAGTTTCTTTGAATCTCATCAGCTTAGTCTTTTGAATTTTCGAAAATCAAAGAAATCAATCAGCTCCACAATATGTGTTTGTTTGATTAGTTTTCTCCTGAATAACAATTTTATATCATTCTCCTGCCTTCCTTCAAACATTTCTTCAACAAAGGATATTACTAAATATGAATATTACTTTACACACATTTCCCACCAATTTAAATTCCAGTAGGTATTCAAAAAGGAAACAGACCGAAAGAACACTGCATACTCAAATATGTTTAAATCTTATAATTTTTTTGTTTTTCAGTTTAAAACAGTCTTTCACGTTTTGTCTTTGTATGGTATTTTTGAAAAATACAGTGGAACCTTGGAACTCGAAAGTCTCTTAACTCGACCGTTCCTGCTAATAACTCTACCAATTCAGACCTTGAACGTGTAGGTCGAGAATAATTTAACCGCTCAAAACTCAACCGAAAACACGGAACAGAACAAAACAAAACAGACAAAACTTATACAGATCGAGACGGGTCTCTGATGGACCAACTTGGACGCTGATGCCTATGAATCGCTGTTAGTGACGCGGTGCCTCTCGACCGAGATCGACGTGCAAAAGCTGCGTTTCTGTGTTCGGTGTGATTTTTTTGTGCTTTATCTACAGTACATTTAGTGATAAAGTAATCATGCCCCCCCCAGAAAGTGAGCAGCGATACCACCAAACCAAAGAGGAAAGTAGTGAGAGTAACTAGAACTTAAGAAGGAAATTATAGCGAGACTAACAGCGATTCATAGGCATCAGCATCCAAGTTGGTGTATGTGTGTCTGCTCTCACTTCGTCGGAGCGTGGGATTGTCATTTGTTTGTTTATGTGTGCTTTTCATTTGTGTATTAGTTTTATATTGATTGTTAATGCTTTTCGTCATTAGTTGGGTAGGTAGATAAGTTTAAATAGGTAATCATTTGGGGGTCTGGAATGGGTTAAATTCATTTACTGTACAATATTTCTTATGGTGAAATTTGACTTGGACCTCCATCAAATCACAACTCGACCAGCCTTCTGGAACTAATTAAGTTCGTGTTCCAAGGTACCACTGTAATGTAATACATGCAACATATTGTGCTGAATATTCTGCTGTATTTTGGCATAAAAAATGTTTTTCAGTTTATGCAATGTGACAGTATGTTTGTTGTGAATATGTTCTGTAGGAGCTGATTTGACCGGGTTTGTGGCAGCTGGGAATTCCTTCCTTGGCCTCCAGGTGGAGCTGCAGAAGTTTGGCCTGCAAGAGTGACTCAGACCCTGAATTGCCGTCTTATTTGCCTATCGCTACTGCACGCAAATTATCCCAGCCATGATAATTACTATTCTGTAGTATTTCTTATTTCTTAAACTGACCATACTGGCATGAAAGGAACATTTTAATTTTCCAAGCAAAGTAATGATTCTGCCTAAATCACAATTATGTAGACGTACAGATTGGTTCCTATTAATGTGGTTTCCAAATGTTCCCGCTATGCTCCATTTTAAAAGTTATTCTTTTCAAAATATTTCATAAAATGTAACGTAATAATGACTATATAATTTAATTTGTTACAGCACATTATTGTACTTTACTTATTAAGCTACTAAAAGTTTACACTGCCTACAAATCAGAATGTGATGTTGGGATCTCAGTTCAATGCTGCAGAACATAGGCAAGAATCTAAACTGACACAAGGTAAAGACGGGTAAATCCCTCCATATACGTCCTGTGCTTGGTGATGCGAGTTCTATGAATTACTTTTACAGTATTAGTTGTAAATTAGTGTTAATTGTTAGTCGTTGTGATTGTGCCCTTTCATCACTCCCTGACTAATCAAAACACAGTCAAAGTACACAAACACCACTCTGTACATTGCGTGTAACACAAAACGAACGATCAGGCAACAGAAATGGATTAGCGACATGGTAGTCAAACAACCGAAACCAAAAATCGAGTGATCAACAGAAGTGAAACAAAGGTACCACAAGCCAAAGTAAATTACTGAGAATACAATCAAACCAAAAGGCAGCAATAATACAATGAAAGGAGCAAAGCTAGATTCTTTCAGGTACGGCGAGATTTTGAGCTGGTAAAGGGTAGAAACCAGAAGCAGGGATATGGAGGGAAGATCTGCAACGGAGTAGGTGGACCGGACTGTAGCGACCGGAATGGCCAAGAGCTAGAGTGGAGGAATTCCACTGACTCCATTGGCAATTCATTGGCTTTGCCATGTGTCCAACTTGCCATGGGCTGGATTGGACATCAAGCAACAGCTTGTTCTGCTAGGTCTGCTTGTCTTTAATGTTGTTCAGTTGTCCGTCCTTAATTTTGGAATTTAACCCAACAAAGCATGGACCACATTCACTTTTCACGAAGTGGTCACGGTCGTATCAGCCTCATATCAAAAGTAGCCTAGTTTGATGATGATTTAGCGCAGAGGTGACAAACTGCAGTTTTGGGGGGCCGGAACCCTGTGTAGCTTAGTTCTTTTCCTGTTCCATCACAAGCGATTCGGCTCTAGAGCTGTGTTGTAATTAGCACAAGGAGTTGAATCAGGTGTGTTAAATGAGGGTAAACCAAAAATGTGCAGGGCTCTGGCCCCAAAGGACTGGAGTTTGAGACCACTGATTTAGCATTATGATATTCCCTTCATATATTCCCATTCCGTGTAAATTAATCCAGGAGATCCCTGTAAGATCCAGAAACACTAACGATTCCCGTCTCAGCACCACGTGGTCAAACGCGGAAGCGCAAACAGACATTTAAGGGAGTGGCGTATTGATGCTGCTTATTACGAACTGCAAGTATAGGAGTGAGGACTTAATTTTTTAGAAACTGGTAAGTAGACGGATTTAAAGAATGTTTTTTTTATGTTTTCCATAATCGTAAAACTGATAATTTATGAAACTATCTATACTTTTCCTGTAAATCACTGTAAATATATATCAGTAGTTTTGTTTCAGATTCTTACTCGAACAGTTCTTAAACGTTCAGTTTGACTGTAGAAATTTTTACAAATTTTTATCTCCTCATTAGTTTCCGAATACATGCATGATCTAGGATATGAGGAAAGTGGTGCGTATAGAGACACGGGCGTAATAGCCTACTGGCAATCAGATGAACTATGCAATGACTGCAGTTGTCTATAGTTAAATTTACACTACACTGCACTACAGTAATTTAAACTACGTATATTACTGTCTGTCAAAATATACGGCACTGCACTGTATGATTTACAGTAACCTCAATATACCAGTCAAGCTGTGAACATAGTACAGATGTAGTACGGTAGTAAATAAACGGCCATTATGCAGTATAGTGTTTGAAGGCATGAACTATTCTGAAAGTTGCCTGTTAATTTCCATGGTGCTTCTGAAGACTCACTGCAGTCCTAGATTGGAGAACAGGTTACTAAATGTGGATGGAAGTACATTCTTAAGTCATTTAATACAGCTGGCTCTACAGTGAATAGATATGCGCTCTAGCAGTTTACTCAAAACAATGCACATTATTTAACCTTGAAATCAAAGTTACATATTCAGCAAAATATTACAGCGTATTACCCAGGAACGGCAGCAATATCAGGGCTTACCGTGAGACACGCATCTCAACCAGTTCACACGCCCATACGCCACGTGCGCTGCGAAGTAAAGGACAGCGCCCACCAGGGTGTCCCGTTATTAACGAGGTGCAGGAAATAAGGAGTGCAGTTTTAAGCGGAGTTCACAACTGCATGTTATACGTCGTTAATATCTCCTACCAGCCAATCAGAAAATAGCATCTGTTTGTTTCCGGGTAAATTCCAAAATAAATTACCCTTGATCCCGCTGCAAGCTCGTTATTACATGGATGCGCACACGGAGTGCGGACGAGGTGGAAGAACAAGATCCGATGACGGCGGTAGGCAGGGCTCTCTTTGGCATTTGATAACCGTGATACACACGCTCCGCCCCCAACCCATGTAATCTCACTCCAAACCATTGATGAAACTTGAGGGTCCTAGCAACATACTTTCAAAATTCCCTGGAACTTTGTTCATAGTGATTTTGGTGGCTGCCCTCGTTGAAACACTGGTGATCTATG